AAAATGACTCAGAATCGGAATCTTGAGCAAACACAGCATTTTCTCTTAGAAGTTCAGAGTTCTCGGGCTGCAACTGTGTGGGTCATTCCGCAGAGCGCAAATCAAGAAACGATGCTGAGAAGCTTGCTGCTTCTCAAATAAAACGTCTGCAGGTTCGGTGGTATTCCCTCCTGTTTCCATGCAAGCGAGGCTGCAACAGGACATCTACGGATCTGATTAACAGAACCAAATCTTTCTGAATTACCTGGCTGGTAATGTTCCACGATTTCAGCGGCATGACCTACCTAAGCTAAACGCCAACCACACTGAGGACTATCTGTTTTCAAAGCTGAGCATCTTTCGACTATCTTGTTTGTTCTCAGTATATTTGTTGCTTTTAACATGGCTTTAATTAATTTCAACCACACTGAGGATATTACAATACAATGGCCCCAGCCCCGTAATCATATCCTTAATTCCCAAATCGGTCCAATTTTGAAAACATAGCAAAAAAGAAAAGCATTTGATGTTGTTCTCAAGCCACCAGCTAAAACTTGTGCGAGGCACGAGTCCTCGATTTCGCGTATTGGGCCCTATTTTCTTTGCAGTCGGCCGCCCTAAGTGAAGGCAGGCTCGACCCAGGGCCTACAGGTCTCTTTTTGGGGTCATCAGGCAACTGGGCAAATTCAGGCAGTTGTGCAGCGCCAGTTGGTTGAGAGCGCCCAGGCCCAGGCCGTCTTTATCATGTGTAACAGAGGCAGGCCCAGACCCAGATACGGAACATGGACCGAACACAGGCCGCGGGCAGTTGGACACGGGCAACCACCACAGGCCCAGGGCCTGATTCGTTTGGACTGGGGTCCCTGGGCCTACCGGAAGCTTCTGGGCAGGGGCCCAGCGCAGCCAGGCTGCACACAAGCAGGCAGGCCACTTCCATTTAGGAAAGGCCAGTCCACACGTTCGGCATTCGGGCACTGGCTGCATGCTGCGCAGCGCTAACGCTGGCCAGCACTCACGCGCTCACGGGCGAGCTGGAAGAAGCTGGAAGCCATAGCTGAGCTCCGCAACTGTATCCTGGATGGGGCGCATGGTGGTTCTTGGGTGCAAGTGGCTTCTGTGAGTTGGGGATACAGGTTGTGACTAATACGAGAGACGTACCTGGTGCTTGAGGTGAACGGCATTGGCCCAGTTCTGCTCGTACTTCAGGGAGCTGTTGACGTCATCAGCCGCATTGTAGTTAGGCTAGATAGGATCTGCCATGTGTAGTCTGGGCGCCGAGCGCCAGATAGGATATCGACATTGGCTCTTCGTTGATGATGATGAGACTATTCCAGCATTGTCAATTATGAGCTTTTGCTGTACTCTTATTTGGTGAAACTCGTGATGCAATCCTGCTATTGGTTCGAGGTCACGACTATCTGGTCTCATGTGTATGATGCTGTTTGATTTCTGAAGTTCGCTATCGCTCGTTTTCCTTGCACATGCTCTTTGGCATTCCAATTTCATATCACACTCTCAGCTGTCCTGTATTGGACACCAATCCGCCATTTATCCCATTTTTGCCCACCTATATATCGCCCGCCTTTTCCTGTACCCGCAATAGCTCTCATATGTTCTGCCTACTAAATGCAATGCCCTCCCTAACCCTTTCTGGCGCAGGTGGACCTGCACTAGCTCTTCTTGTGTTCTATTGAATTTGTTCTGGTCGGGTGTAACACCATGTCAGGATGGCTCCAGACCGAAGGGCTGGTAGATAAGCGCGGGACGTTTCCTGGCATCTGTCAATGGTGTCCCGGTAAACGTGACTTGGAGAGGGTCGACTGGAAAGCGTCAGCCACAGGGCGCGAGACAGTTCTAACCTCAGAATCTGAAGGCCATTTTCTTTCTTTCTTTCTTTTTTTGTTGCTTTTCTGTTTTTCAGCCTTTAACATTTGGTAAGTAGCGCTGCGATGCCCTCGATAGCTTTTGAAGGTTTTCATTTTGTTAGTGGCCTGGCGCAGGGGGTCTAACTGAGGGGGGCCAGTTCATCGGTGTGCCAACTTAGGTAGGCACATTGGCTTTTGAGATGCACATTTATTTTCTCGGGGCAGCTCCATTAGGATTTTCTGAGTTGGTTAGCTCTGCCCTGAAGGGAATAGGTAGGCGGAGCAAAGTTGAGCTTCGTGCAAATGGGTGTGCGGAAGTGCAGCTTCTCTCGCTGTCTCTATCTGGCCTGCCTTTTGGTCTGAAGATGTGGAAAGTTCCCTTCACACTCGGACCAAAAAGTAGGTGAGTCTCCACGGCATGGCGAAGTGCACCTCTCTCCCTCCCTCCCTCCCTCCATCCCTCCGCCAGCGCGCCCTTCCTCTCTCTCTTAGCGGTGTTGTGCTCAAGAGGTGGAGGGTGACGATCACACTCGGCCCCAAAACCAAATAGGTGGTCTGCTTGGCGTGCACGAAGTGCACTCTCTCTCTCCCCCCCCCTCCCACCCAACATCCCTCTTTTCCACCTCCCTCCATCCACATTTAGCTGCAACTCCATTTTTTGTGGGGGTGCCATATTGCAAGTGGGACATGATTTTTGCACGGCTGCTATAAGGAGCGAGAAGTGCACCCCCTCTCTATCCGTCCTCCCCGCCTCCTTCCATCCACGTTTAGCTGCAACGCCATTTTTTTTGTGGGTGCCGTGCTGCAAGTGGCACAGGATTTTTGGGCGGTCGCTATCGGAAGGAGTAGGCGTGGATCATGTCGTGCATGTGGAGAGGCAGGGGGAGCTCGCATTCGAAATCTGGAGAGGGTGGAGTAGCAGGAGAAGGTCGAAGGGGGAGCGTGAGGATGCAGGATCAGGAGGATGACAAAGTTTGGATTCGGTCGGTCAGAGTGGGATGCAACGGCAGAAGAAGCGGAAGGAGAGTCCCCGAGATAGGGTGAAGCATGCAGGGTAAGTTTGTCTGCGTTAAAGAGGTTACGAAGGAGGAAGACGTTGACGAGGGTCCTGAAGTACATGGGAGGAGGATGTAGGTAGGGGACGCAATTTGCGAAGAAAGGGATGGACAGCACGGACTGGCGGGGGGGGGGGGGGGGAAAGGGGGGGGGGGGGTGGGGGGGGGGGGGGGGTAGGGGCGGTGGGGCAAGGGGGGGGGGGGGGGGGGGGGGGGCAGTGAGGTGGAGTGGGGGTAGGGGATCAGGATGTGGGATTAAGAGGAGGAAAAGGTCGGAATGCTAGCCAGGATGAGGATGTAGGAACCGATGAAGTGCACAGGAAAGAATGCCATGGCTACACAGTAAGGACTGCACAAGACATAGGATCTGGACAAGGTGGGGAAGAAGAGATTGCAAGGCATTAATAGGATCTAAGAGTGGAGCGGAGGGAACAGGTAAGCAAAGGAGTGCAGGACGGTGACGAAGGGCCTTGATCACGAGAGGGATAGGGTAAATGTGGTTATGCAGGTGATGGAGAGAGAGCAATGAAGAGTGAGAGAGCGACAGACAGAGGAGATCAGATCTACATGGGCCACATCGAGTATTGGAGAGAGGAGCTCGACGAGGATCCCAACGGAGGATAGAAAGGCGTGGAGAAAGAGGGGGAAGATGAGGCGAAAGACACAGGACAAGGGGAGAAGAGGATGTGGAAAAGTGGATTGGTGGGTGAAGATTGGGGGCGGGGGGGCGGGGATGGAGGGCGCAAGTTGAAAAAGCGAGCAGCTAGGGAAGGATGTGTGTGGGGGGGAGAGAGAGAGAGAGAGAGAGAGAGAGAGAGAGAGAGAGAGAGAGAGTTTGGGGGGAGAGAGAGAGTTTGGGGGAGGGAGGAGGGAATGAGGTTCCGCTGTCTGTTTGTTTTTTTTGTATTGGAAGGTACATACTTGAAACCGCTCGTGCGGAGTTCCGTGCGGAGGGTGCCTGTTCGGAATCGTGAAGGTTTATTATTATTATTATTATTATTATTATTTTATCTTTTTTGGGGAGGGGGAACGGGGGCGTATGACAGGAAGATGGGGATATGGCGAGGAGAGGGGAATCTGGAGAGGAGGAGGATGTGGACGAGGAGGACGACAAGGATAGCGACGACGAGGAGTTGTCAAGATGGGGGAGGAGAAGAGATGGACGGAGGGAAAAGATTAAGGGCAGGAGGAGGACGAGTGGGAGGAGGAGGAGACATGGACGGCGAGGAAGGGGAGGACACGAGGAAGGGAAGGAGACAAGGAGGCATGGAAGATGAGGAAGTATGCGGAGGAGGAGGAGACAAGGAGGATGAGGAAGGGCAGGAGGAGGACAAACAGGAGGAGGAGGAGGAGCAGGAGATGAAACGAAGAAAGGAGGAGGAGATATGGAGGATCAGGAAGGGGAGGAGGAGCAAGGTGAGGCAGTACTCCTGTAAATGTTTTTTTCGTCTCGCTTATAATTTTGGCGGGGGGCCTCAAACGCACCGTTTCGACCCCGGCCTTTTTTTTTTCTGAGGGGGGTGACGGGTCATTCTCCGCACATGTCGTCCGCCGCACGGGATCGGTTGGGCGCGTGCGCCGCACGACGTGTGCTTGCATGTATGATTGGAACTCTTTTTGCGATAGCTGTGACCTTGGGGCCTACAATAAAAATGTCTTCTGTTCTGAGCGAAAAAGAGGGAATGAAAATAAAAGTTGGAGCCTTTCAATTTGGGTGTAAGGGATGTGGTGTTATTTTCATGTCTTCTGCATCAGCAAATGGTTGTTTACTGCAGAATTATTTTTGCGTGCACACTCGGGGGTGTGTTTGTGCGTGTGTGTGTGTGTGTGTGTGTGTGTGTGTGTGTGTGTGTGTGTGAGAGAGAGAGAGAGAGAGAGAGAGAGAGAGAGAGAGAGAGAGATCTGTATATGGAAAGCTATCAAGTCCCTGAATATGTTATTGAATTTTCCATGCATGCGGGCGTAGCCACAGTGGCTTGGCTTGTAATAGTTATTTTTGAGACAGTGCAGCATTTGTCCTGCATGCTTGAGGGGCTCCTTGGGAGCTTCTGAATTGATGATGGCATCCTGTTGGTGTGTGCATTGATTTCATGATGACAAGGTGGTCGGAGGTTCTGAAGAAATCCAGTTTCCAAACCACCGATGTTGCAAGTGGTTTCACTGAGGTCTTCAGTGTAAAAGATGAGACGGAGGTGAGGCAATCGCTTACTGAACGTAGCTTTTTAGCCTGCTGTAGAGTTGGAATCATATTCCCTTCTCTTATTTGGATTGATGGGGAAAAAAACATGAGCGAGCAATTTTCTCATCTTACCATCCTGATTGTAGCACTTGAAGCTTGGAAGGGTATTCTGTGTTCTCATTTATCCTTATTTTGTTGACCTTAACATGCTCAAGCAGTCATTTTTGAATCTCTTTTGCAAACAGGGGTGAAACCTTGTCCCAGGTATACCCAGATGTTCATGACCTCTCCACAAACAGACTATGCAGATGATTGTTTCGACATTGGTATCAAATGCGATGTCAGATTTCACAAGGGTCTACTTGTTCTTGATTGATCGGCATTTAATCAGATCTGGGTATGTATTTTGGAAAGGAGACAATCCAGCTGCAGGTTCCCTTACGGCTACCTTGTTATGTCTTCCACCTCAGTCACTGATCGTACCGTGATAGTCTCCATGAGCAACGATGTGAACACCATGCTGTGTACTTGACATGTGTAACCAGAAAGCCTATACTTAGCACAGACAGAACAAATAGATTTAATATGTGCATGGCCATTCCTGGGGTACGCATATTAGAAATAGTGGTAATAAAATTGATAGCATCTAATATTGAGGAAACATCCGAAAAATGAAGCTACACCATGTTACTGCTCTCTATATACTTTTGTTTTCTTTTTCGCTGCAGGACCGTGGAGCCTTTTCTTCTGATTTGTGCAGTGGTCATATACATCTACTACATCTACTACATCTACTGCATCTACTGAAAGAACATATCTCTACCTCTAACACATGCAGAGGGCCCCTCGGGGGGCCCAGCAGAAAACGACCCGGAACCACGCGGGGCCAGCGGGACACTTGCGGGGTGAGGGACGGTCCGGGCTGGCACCGAGAATCTCACCGTTCAGACTGCCGGCGGGTGAGGGAACGAAGCATCACGGGAATGCTGGCGGGCGCAGCCCGTGGGAATAGGAAGGCGGAGGGGGTTGCAGGGGGCGGAGAGGGTCGAAGCGACAAGTGGTGGGTGCCGGGGGGCGAGAGAGAGAGAGAGAGAGAGAGAGAGATGCAAAATGACGGGGCCACCCGGAACCACGCGGGGCCAGCGGGACACTTGCGGGGTGAGGGACGGTCCGGGCTGGCACCGAGAATCGCACCGTTCAGACTGCCGGCGGGTGAGGGAACGAAGCATCACGGGAACGCTGGCGGGCGCGGCCCGTGGGAATAGGAAGGCGGAGGGGGTTGCAGGGGGCGGAGAGGGTTGAAGCGACAAGTGGTGGGTGTCGGGGGGCGAGAGAGAGAGAGAGAGAGAGAGAGAGAGAGAGAGAGAGAGAGAGAGAGAGAGAGAGAGATGCAAAATGACGGGCGGGCTACTCCCGTGACCATAGGGGGCTTGCAAGCTAGGGGGCGAAGCGACACACGGTGGGCGCGGGAGACAGAGTGGAGAGAGAGACACACAAAGTGACGGTCAAACGCAAGTGCTCAGCCAGGGGGGGGTGGGT